TGCCTCGATTATCCATATTTCCTGGCAGTCACCTGCTTTTATACGTAAGCCTGAATATATTTCTACATTACATATATGGTGAAAATTTGCAAACACATATGTACGTTGGAACACATTTTTAAACACATAATAACTGCGGTAGGGGTTCGCACTACTTCCACGTGTTCTGGTGTTCGGACGTGCAACGAGCCCATAGTATATAGTACAGTGGTTTTCATTCACAAAATAAGAGACAACTTCGTATGACGCCGCTCTGCTTCGATAGTCTAACACTGGCCGAAGAGCGGCTATGAAAGGACGAGCTGGAAAACTTACATGAGCGTGACGGAGCCAGAGGGGTTATGCGCGTCACGCAGTATCAGCGTCAGGCTGTCGGACGATGCTCAAGGACTGTGGCGGACAACGTGTACCCTAGAGACAAAGCTCACAGACGTGACTCGAGCAACACCAAACTAGAGACCTAAGCTTGCACAAGATGTTGGCCCAGTCAAGAAAACCTGTGCTTTTTCTCAACGTAGCTAAGACAGTAGAATACAAGATAGGAGCAAGGCTTTGCCTATGTTTAGCTACGCGAAGGATAGGACAATCATTGAAGAAAAAGAACAACACAGATTCTGTGCTCGGAGAGGACAGAGAAAAGAGAAAGCGAAACGGGTTCAGCTACTGGCCCTTCGTTGCCCGGCGGCAGGATGTCCATCGATGTTGTTCCTTCGTGCAGACCGCTCTTTCACCTTCGTACGGATAAAGAAGAAATCGCGTCCTTTCTTGCCCGGAGTCATCCAGCCACGTAGCTATCGAACGTACGTATAGTACTTATGTTTCGAAACTACAGAGATGTCGTCTACGACATCGTCACCAAATAGAGCGGTCTATAGATAGAAGGAAGTACGCTAGCGGGCGACAACAGAAGGGCGATTACTGAACACGATCGACGTCTCTATTGGAAGCCTAAGGATTACGTTAAGCCAATGAAAATGGCAGCTCTTATTTCCGTTTCTCCTTCCGCTCGTTTCGCTTGTAGTTTGTGTAAATGAAGTACCAGTGCCGTTGTTGCTTACATCCATGTGGACGCGTGCGACCGCAATGGGCCATCGTGCGACGATTATAGAGCGCATACGACTGCGACGCCAACCGTCCACGATAGCGAATGTATACTTGGCTCTAAGTCTTTGAAGATGGCGACTAACTGGAGTATTTGCACGGCATATATGCGTACAGCTGTAGGTAAACAAAAGTCTCTGTTTCGCTGATATAAAACATCATCATGATATGAAAGCTTATCATTCTATACAATATCATTCTATACGTGGGCTAGGCAGTAAAAGCTACCAGTCGTCTAGACAATTTAATCAAACAGTGAAGAATTCTGAGACGGTTTTGCAAATTTTTTCTAGTTGTAACTTGAAAATAAGAAACTTGCAGCGTCCACAGTGTGGAAATTGCAAACTTAGGCCACAGTTCATTCAGTTTAACTGTTACTTGGAAGCGACGAAATCAGCAGTGACGTCGCGGACAGACTATATATACCCTACACAGACATGGGCAGTTTCAGTCTCACAATCATCGTTAACGACGACAACAACAAGACGTAATCCAATCTAGCTATGTATGCTTTGTCGTAATGGTAGGCGAGGCTGGGTCTCGGCTAGCTGTGGGTAAATTTTTCAGTTTGGAGTTTTACTATTCGCTGCTGAACCTAAAGTCCCTCGTGGAAGCCTTCTACCCCCCCCCCCCCCGACCCGTCCACCACCCGTTAGAAGTGAGTTCCTAAGTTTGATAAATAATTGATACGAATAAATAAAGCTACTGGCAGGTGACTAAGAACTAAATGGCATTGCCGTGTCATGCCATCTAGACACAGGCATCACAGTTACTTGCCGTAAGGAGACGTCCGGTAGAGACGTCTAACAGTAACATAATTAGCAGAATAACGATAGACATAATAAATAGTGTCATTGCGTATAGCTAAGTATAGAAATTATGCTGTTAACATCGGATACCAGCGAAGATATAAGGACAGAATCTATCTAGAGGTACCATGAGAGTATTGACCAGGGCACCGCAGTGTCACCACTATTTCCAACTCTTATCGATCTCTATCAGGCAAAGCAAACCGTTGCTTTATTAAATATTGCCGAGGATTATTTTTCGGAAAGGTATATGGAGCGATCTAGACCTGCTTCTGGCGTAGTAAGTTACCACTCGAGGATTATCGATCCGACATGAGTGCCACGTATTAACGAATTTCGACGATTTCTTTAAATCAGTTTTTAAATCATTTTCAGCAAACCTTGCAGAGCTATGGCTACACTCTCAAAGACGATAGCATAAATGGTATTGGTCTTTTGCTATCTTGTACCAACAACATCCGTGCCTATTTCCAATGTCAGCAGTATCCTTGTTCAGCGTGGCCGCTGTTTTACATCAAACGGAGCCTAACAGGACCTGGCCAATATAATGAAACGGAACGAATGCTTCCTAATTGAGCTTCACGTATCGAGTCGCACTGCGCGCCTATCTATCACCTTGTTAATAATGCCTAAAATAGGTACACTCATGAGTATAATAATACTAGTTAGTTATCTGATCATTACGAATAGGAGATTGTAAAGTTTTCAAGTACCTAAAGTGTTAAGGTCGTACTTGTATGTTCCTTAAGCATTGTATTACCTTCAAATCTATGCAATGTGCCTAGTAGCTAGTTCGAGGTTCACGAGCATCGTCTTATTTGAGCCTAGGCACCTGGGAACAACCGGCCATTTACTGATGCGTTGCGGCTGGCGAGAGCCTATAAAGTTCAAGTTTGGCTGGTACAACAGATGGGCATTTATTTTTTAATTGAATCTATTTATTTTACCTGGATTTTTCCGACATTCTCAAAACGCACGGCATGCTGCGGTTGGAGATAACCGTAACGTCGTTTTTCGGTAATAAGCTTGCATTTAGAGAGGATAGGGCGGAGCAACATTCTGTCCACTTGTTATTTTGCCAGATACGCAAACATTTGAGGGTCAGCTGCTTAGACCCAGGTGATGAAGCCCGGCAGATGGCAAAAAATATTTGAATAATTGAAATTACAATTGTTTTTGATCATTGTCTTTAGGCTATAAACCTGAAGAACGTCAGAAAACCTCGACACTCTAAGAAGGGAACGTTATAAAATTTGTATGATGTAGATTGCACGAGGCCAAGTCAGACGCGATTGTATAACCGTAAAGCTACCATCACTTGTTGTATTGCTGCTCCAATCGTGCCCCGTAAATATAACAGACTCTTGAAAGAGTTATAGTTCCTAGTTGAATTACCGTAGATGCCCGGGTGGCATAAAGTTTGAAGACAATATAATAACGTTGAAAATATGAACTTCTCGAAAAATTGCAACCGCCTCAATTGACCCAAACATGATACTTCCTACAAAGTAGTGGCGATAATGTAAAAGGTTTAGTACGCTATTGCAGTGATTCGTTACGAAGCGAACTTATCGTAAGGTGTAGTTTATCGTCTATGGTGCTTGTACATGTAACTACGCCGGTTCAAGTTAAGCGGATTTCCTCCTACTCTAACTAAAGGTTCCTTCCATTTGGCTGGAAATAAACGAGCCGATCACTCTGACGGGTGCCAAGACCCGGATTTCTTCTAAGCGTGTCCAGACCCCTTCTGGGGGTTCTCTCGCTCGAGTCCAGCAAAGAATAAAATCTCCCCAGTTTGCTTGGTTAGTCTAACCGGTCCGGTTAGCCAGCTTTTCTCCGACTATTCTCAAAAAGGCCAGTCAGTCCACCCGGAGTCGTAAAATAGGACTGATGGAAAATATTCGTAGAAGCCCGCACAGGATGTTAACTCACGTACCTGTGTATAACTGCCTTCCATTTTTATATGCAATACAGTTTGTGTGTATGTACATCGCCTTATAGCGCGCCTACCTGAAAAGCAACGATGATTTTTATACTAATTACGCGAAGTGATACCATATTATTGCTATCATGGCAGAATATACCTATATTCTATATAGGTAGATAGTATGGTCCTCGGGATGACTTGCACTAGCTGAAGTAGGTTTTGCCTTATCGAGATGTTATGGCCAGCAACGGTAGGCTCACCGTCGAAGTAATTTCGCGATAGACTATCGTGCTATTGCACCATATGCACTTCTCCCACATAGAGTTTAAATAATAACTGCTCGGTCCGATTTTTTTACTGTGGTATATAGTACAAACGAATGTTTACTAGCCAATGATCAAATACTTTGGGATGGAAGCTTTTCAGTTGAGCACTTGCAGCAGAAGGTCGCATTATTTGGCTTCGCAGTAAATATTCATAATCGTAACTAGCGTGTTTTAATATCCATGAAATCTTGATCAGGTATCGCTTGCCATAACCATATTCTTTATACACGTGCAGTAAATAAACAGGCTTTCTTCTATTTTTAGCACATTGGTCCATTCGTATAGCCATCCTTTATTGGGCCCCGATGTTCGTTTGCTCCTTGATTTGTCGTCTATACAATTTGCAACTTTTTTTTTTCTCGAGATCGCTTCTTTCGCTGCGCGCTGGCCCCATCGGAGACCCATTGCTCTTTGGGGGTGCTCTTTTTTAGCGTACGCATCTACACCTTCGATCAGAGAAAGGACGCAACTGCAACGAGCTGGCCGAATGTGAGCTCCGCTCGTAAAGCAGCGTTCTTCCCGCCGAAAAAACCGCAGCACGAGAACAGGGAGGAAAGAAGAAGACACGAAGCAGGGAACCGACAACGTATCGGTTGGTCCGGCACGAATTCGACAGGGCGCTTCGCTTCAGGCTCCTGTCTGTTACTATGTTTGCTGTTAGCAACAGACCCAAAATGTAGACATCCTTCCTTTTCGTTTGGCGGCGAGGGAAGCGACGATTCGGCGAGGGTTGGCTGGCTTCCCTTTCCCAGCACGACTACTCGGCGGACACTGGCAGATAGTGTGTCAGAACGGAGTTGGAGTTTGTGGAGTGAGGTCACGTTACGTCGTGTCGTCAAGTGCTATTTCACGCCATCGCATTAACAAGGATACTTTATATTGACGTATCTATCTATACTGGTATGACCGCGTAAGCTACATCATCACTCCGCGAGGAAAACAGCCCGCGGATCTATATCAAATCAACGCGAATATATTTCTAGAAACGCAGTGACTGTGACCGCCAACGGATACCTATTACACTATCTGTATGCAACCTAAAACATCGATGCAGAGTACTGCCGCTGCTGTTGAGCAGATTTAACGGATATCAGTTAGAGTGGTAATCAGTGTATGACTTCGTGCGTTTGGTCGGCAAACGTTGTATGGAACTGCGCCACGGTCGCGACTGTGCTGGTGAGTTGTAACGACGGTGCTTAGACTATTGACGCGTTGAGGATACGGAACAATATCGACGGACGACGAATGGCCGACGGTAGATGAGTGGATAATATTGCTAACTTAGCGAGCAAGCAAAATTATATAGATACGATTTATTTACCTTTTGCTCTGTTTAGTTTCTTTGTTGTATTTTTGCGCGCTACGGGCCGCTGCTACGTTCATCTTGCGCATATACCTACTGTTACAATACGAGACGAGCCAATCAGTCCTCGCTAATAGCTACACCATAAAGCTTTAGCTAATCAAAAAAAAAAATTGAGAAAATCAGTAAGCCGATGAAGAGGGGCGATCGTGTTTACTCGAATGTTCATATTGATGAACATCTATAGCTGTATGCGATCGTGTTGCGTTATCTAACGCGATTTTGGTACCTCTCCCCTGCCCCCGATTTAATATTTTTTTCTGTGTACATGTGACTCCTTTTGGGTGCGATATACGAGCTCGTCAAAGGGGAAAGCCGGTCGTTTCAAGTTTCATCACACAGAGGCGGCAGATTGCTGACTCGGTGTTTCATCCGCGCGATTGTACACAGATATACACAGACACTCGGTGATGGTAGCGCTAGCGAACTGTGCCGTAGCAACAACAGATCTTAGAGCTCGGCCCAAACGTCGGTTGGTCTGCACCCCCCTACCCGCCCGCATGAAGAAGGGTGCGCTTTCTGGCTACCCCGGTAGCGTAGGCAGTACGAGCAATAGCTTTGAGGGTAATGATCCGGGGAGCAGCACACTTCGAGAACCGCCTGCTTTCGTGCCTGTCTGGCTCACTTATTGGACCAGCGGCGACCCTCGCGTCTGCGGTAGAGTTCCATGGCCCCCATGGAGATCACTGGTCTGGCCTGTTCAGGATATGTGTTATGTGCCTTTAGCTGGCGACTGAAAGCGGTGTACATACGAATTAGACACTTTCAAGTGAAACTGCGCGCGAACCTGGTTGAAACGCAATACACGGACGACAAAGTGTGCTTGAATATACATGTCTATATAGAGGGAGTTCTTTTTGGCAATGTTCATTTTTATTTAACTTTAGCGAAAAGAAAGTTGAGCCATGGGCAGTTTGTTCGGTTTCCAGTTTGCTTCAAAGCTACAATCGTGATGCGTTTGACAGGCGTCTGCAACACGGTAAATAAGAGAACTACAATGGTACGTTTGCCGGGGAACATACCGGTTTGTAAGTTTTCTCCGCACCACACAGGGCTGCTTTGACAGATTCCATTGAAAAGAGCGCGCTATCTGTGGATATACTCAGATCATTACAATATTACTACGCAAGTTTATTTTTACCGTTGGAGACCGACCATGTTTGAAGCTATTTTCAGAAGTCTAGTCGTGGCGTGGCTGTATGTGGGCGGGTATTGGGTATGGGCGCTTGACGTTGTCTTCGTATTAGTAAAAGGGCCAAGATCAAGATTGACGTATTGACTTTAATTTGACCTCAACAATAGGGATTCGGATAAGATTAGGGTCCTAGGAAAGCAATATGTTTCTGATATTTCTGTCAGCACGCGACTGTGGCTCGAGCTGCAACAAAGAATTTGACATATTTATAGTGGAAGCCCGCTTGATGTATTGGGGCTTTTCCTATCTGCTTGCTTGAACGATCCGGCGAATTACCCCATATTATTGGAAAGCTTTTCGAAATTTAATAATTAATTGCTGCTTCACGTAACCGACAGAACGAATCACGGCATCTGTTATTTGTTTCATAAATCAGTATATCTATGTATAGGTGATATTTTTATCGATAACGTTAACGGGTACCGTAACAGAGGAGGAGTGCATGTGACGTTAGTTTGACCGGTCGCTCGCCTACTCATTTACCAATCGCGTTGTGGACGGTCAGGACACGTTAATCACGTTCATCATCAGCACCTACAAGAGCGTCATCATAGCCATAATCGTCACCGAACAAAGAATGGAACTAATGGAGAACAGGATGATTAGGAGCTAAAGCGCCCAGGACCTTCGTGACAAAATTCACTCTTAGCAACGTCAGCAACTGCGGCGGGAGTATTTGATCCTTTCGATGGTAACGACGGTGGCGGTGGCAGCAGCGATGACGGCTCCAACGTCGACTCACGGCATTATCATATGCATGCGTTCGGTGTATTCGTGTGCCTTTGGTCTGAGCGTCCAAAGAGACGGCTAACAACCGATTGTGGTCAGTCTGTTCTCGTCGTGTCGGCGCTTTTCGCGTTGAGCGGCGCTATTTTGACGGCTGCCGACAACTGGAAGTCTTGCACTTCGATCAGCTCGGAGTAGCACGCCGGCTGCCGGCTCGATGATCAAAGTCGTGATTCGTATTCGGGCTAGGATACGTTCATGTGTCTGTCTAGGCAATCGAGCCCAGGTCAATCGAGCAGCGAACGAGCCCGATCAATGGAACTGGAACCTCCGCTTGAAACAAAAAGGTTGCAAGGGAGGGGGAACTGATTGGAAGAAGTCAACGAAATAGATTCGTGCCCTTTGCTGGTCTCGCTATACGGGAGCTTGGGCTAATGTGATGGTGAAAGCTGGTGTAGATCGACACTACGTCATCCTTCTGTCATAGATTACGCTTGATCTATGTTGCCCTGGAAAAATCATTTGTATTGAATATATATTGTTCTAACTATATCTACTTGTATACGCTCAACCGAAATTACGCGTATTTATCTCAAGTCTTCGTTCAGCGGTTCGGAACCGCATTCTTTTCCATGACGGCGATCTTTAGTATTACCATCAAATATATTTTCCAATGTTGCCCGGACATCCCCAGTGCCACCGTGATATTACGGGTCGTAAATTGTCGATTCATTTGAACTTGTCTCATTTTTCTAAAGAAAGTCCTGGGAAAACCACGTATCTTCATTGATTAGCCAGTCGAAGCGGCTATTTAAGTAATTCGGACATTTTTCTACGTTGCTATATAGACTTTAACATAATTACATTTGGCTCTTTTAGAAACAATGTAGAAAAGTAAACCGTTGCATTGCGTAAGGTTCTGGATATAGCTATACATATAGAGACAGACTCAAATTCCACTTGCCCAAACGAAATGGTCCACTCCATTCGGCAAGTTGCGTTGCTTCACATAAGCTTGTTCTGTAATGCTTATGTTATTGATATGTTTCGAAGATCGAAAAAGGTCCGTGAAAATAGTTCATAAAAAAATGGGTGAAGATGCCGCAGGAAACTGACTGTGACGATGGTAGTTAAGTGACACCCCTAGGATACTTGTTTCACTTCTCTGTGCATCATCTCTCATCTCCATCAGGATGTATTACGACACTTCAGTCGACCACCACTATTTTGTTGTTCCCTTTCACGCAATTCATCTCAAGAATGTGTGTTTCCGGGGTGGGGTTCCTTTATCGTCGTTTATTTTCAATGTCGCTGTATCCTCTTACTTTCGTCGACGACATCGTCGTCGTCGTCTCCATTCTTCGAGAGCGTTTCCCCATTTGCCTCCCTCTTTACTTCCTCCCTCTAGATCGTGTTGGTTTGCCTCGACTGGACGCTGGGTTTCACCCGACCGTCCTCATCCCGGCACATACACGCTTAAATGTGGACGTGATATATGAAAGTTACGAGCATGGGTCAGATAAACTTTGGGCAAAGCGTAGTCAAGCCCTTTTAATGTTATCATCGATGTAATTTGCTTTTTAACTTGAAAAAAGAACTTTATAATAAAAATAAGTCAACTTGGTTTGATTGATCGAATGAAGCACATTTTCTCGATGTACGGATTACGCGTAAATCCATTGTGCAACGAATCTATACATACTGATGTCAAAATGAGCATAGAGATGTTGAAATTAACATTTTTGAAAGCGTCTTTGAAGAATATTTTGTCCCCATCACCGTCGTCGTCACGGGTTTTTCCCGAGTCGCAGTGCTCCTTGTTCACACTCCGAAACACAACTTTTCTCTGATAGTGGCTTTTCCCATTTTTATCGTTAACCGGCCTTTCATTAGAATATTTTCGGTTCTGCGCCGGTGTTTTTCTTCTGTTGAATCGTCTCGACTGCTGTCTCCAACCGCTTGCGCCCACTGAATCGCCAGTGACGCGTCGCGCGAGAGCTAATTGAAAAAGCCAACAGGGTTTTTGTCCGATGGCTTGTGGACTTTTGGGGACATGGGGACTTTCGTAAAAGCTTGCGTTAGGCGGTTTGGCGGTACTAGGGAATTTCGGAAACGGCAGCGGTGCGCTTCTTCTCAGCTTTCAGCTTCCCGAAGTGTTATCTTCTTAGTCGTTTCTCTGTCTGTCCATCTATCTACCCCCCCCCCCCCGCCCCTCGCCCTCTCTCTCTCTCTCTCCCTCTCGGACAGAAAAATTCATTTTATTTTCCGTTTCCGCCAATTCTCCCTCCTTTTCTCATTGACGCTGCACCGCACTGCCTGCTCGTCTTCTTTCCTGTTGAATTTCTTTTTTTCGTCTTCTAGCAATGCTACTGCTGCTAACTTTGGTGTTATATCATACGTAGTCTATCTCCGGCTACGTTCGTTCGCCTTCGCTGTCTCTTCAGACGCGAGCTGTTTCTGCAGCAACAGCATTAACAGTGGCAGCGTGGAGTTCTTGCTAGCTCCTGCTGGTCGCTCCGTCCATCCGTTAGGTCGTCGTCTTGTTCCGAGCCATAGCAAAGCGAGTGTTCAGATAGCCATCCAACGAGTAGCAGCTAAGCAGAGAGTTAGAAGTGGTAGCTCGTCCTTCTCGTCCTGGTTGCCGTCCTTTTTCTTTCCTTTTCCTGTCTTCGCTTGAGGCATGTTTGCCAAGCGAATTTGAAGATTTAACTTTCTTTCTCCGCACTCCCCTCGCTATCATCTACTACATCTCTCTCTCTGGCCCTTTCGGTCTCTTCGTGTTTTGCTGGACTGATCCTATCTTTGCCACCCGGCAGTGGCTTTGCCATTGCTGCAAAGCCACTGCAAGCGGTAGTCCTTTTTTGCCTCCTGAAGGCTGACTTGCGGGACTAACAGTACCCACAGGACTCAGAATTTACTGTCTTGCTTCAAGCTTGTGTGTGGGGTTGTGGTGTGCTTTGCTGACGACTCTAGCAGCAGCCGGAGCAGCACTTCGGCGAGTGGAGCTTCGTTTCCTGCGAGTCAGCTCCTTCCTCTATTCAACGCGCCATCCTAAACTCAACCCTCAATCCGTTCTCTTCCACACATGGCTTTCGTGCTCCGTGCAGGTCTTCCTATTCTGGGGTGAGCCGTCCAGGCTATTATTCCACTTACCTGCGGCAGCATCGCGCGTGTGGAAGTCAGTCTATAGAGACGCCTTCCAAAAGCTGCCAGGCCAAATCGGAAGGGAAACATTTTCACTGTCGACTTCTGGTTGTGCGCGTCGCTTTCGTCCAAAAATAAGACATTCTACAAAAACCAGCCCAGCCACCGTTTTGTGGTAACTACTTTGGTAACTGGTAAAGCGAAAAGTGTGAATATAAAACACAGAGAAATCGAAATGGAACCAGAAAAATAGAAAGCAAGTTTTATTAAACTTGTTCGTTACAGCATGTTATATTACGCCGTCTTGCAGGACTTATCATATCTGCTCTGTCGAACGGGCAAGACAACGCGGTTTGCTTCGAACTTTTCTACGCAGCTTGAAGGTTGCCCATCATATCAAAAGACCGAGTCTGAGGACATTGAACATTCTCCGTAATCAGATCCATTTTGTCAAGCGGTTGGGAGATTTACTAGCGGGTGACGTTCAGTTGTCATATTTTTTTAAAGTTTTTACGTCGTGAACTCCGCGAGTGGTTGTAATCTTGATACAAGAAGAATGGGAACGCACAGGAGCAACGACAGCTACAAAAAAACAATGGCGCTTCAACCACCCGCCCTCGACGGACGCATTATTCTGTCTGGGTCGCTCTTAATCGAGTAGTAGTTTCGTTCAGTTCGACACGGAGGAAGTGGGCGAAGGCAACAACAATAAAATTCGTTGTAGCCAATGCACAGCAACGGGGAAGGCATTTATTCGTTGAAGAAACAAAGCGTCAAATTAGATCGGGCTTTTCAGGCTGCCGCAGCAGCTCCGCTAAACGTTGTTTAACGTGAAGCTTGCCTCGTTACATATCCCGATGTAGATTTGATCGGATTAGATGCAAACGTCTGACTAACTCGGTGAGTGTATATACTCGATCATCGTCAGCTCTATTGATTGAGTCGAATTCGACTGGCTGAGACATTAGCTCTAGTATCTGGCGATTTCGTTACTGTTAATAGGCGGCCGCGGCAGCGTCAGCAAACGCCGACCACTCGATCGAATGCTTCTGTACTTTTCCTTCGTCTGTTTCATCGGCTTTTTGCTCTTTGTCTTTCTGTTTCTTTAGCCGCTCGCTTCGTTTCGTTTTGTTATGGCCATTGCTATGGTCTACTGCAACTATTCTCGCGCTGTCCGTCGAACCTCAACGTTACCTAGTCGTTCTGTTCTGGTCATCGGCAGAGTGCGGTTCGTGGCTTTTTCTTTTGTTACTCGCTATTAGTTGCTTCTGGTTTGTCTCTAGCGGATCTGGGCTGACAGTACGATCGCTAGAACGAGCGCGATTGTCTATCCCGGTCGAGTTTTTCGGGGGTCAGGGCCCCTCGAATCACCTTCGTTCCTACATTAGACTACCTACGACAATAGCTACTGCAACAGCAGTATTGAGAACGACGACAATAACAACACAATAAGCAAAAAGCAACAAAATCATCCGGGACTCAAGGACAGCAGATGAATTTTCGGGAGCTCAATGCTTAGCATTTGATATTTCCCATCTCTTCATGTTCCATACTATCAATTGAAACCTATCAATTGCGATCCGTCCATCGCCGTGACTCCACACAGCAATATATATATATATAAAGGTCGGCGATCGACCTGCAAAAAGCTTTTGATGCGGATATTCATTAATAATTTTATTATCATTCTTAATATAATTCATTTTTTGTTTCGACGGATAACAATCTTACCCGTCGAAAGCTGACTATTGTACACATCATCACTGTTTTCAAATAGTTATCATTAGGGTTAATATTGATGATAAGATTGAGCTATACTTGGGCGAGTTTTACTGATAAGTACTTGCGGCTTAAACCTTGTCGTGTAGCCAGCTTTTTAAGCAAGATAAAAAGTGCATTTTACTAAAATATAGAAGTCTCTTCTCGGTTGATTCAACTTTTCTAGAAAAACCATGAACGGAGCGTCGGCTGGAATAAAAAATAACCAAACAGAGTGGTCCGTCACTGGCGAGCTGAATACATAGTTAGGCGGCATATGCATATGACTATATGAAGACAACGCGAACGGTTACATTGGCGATAGAAGAAGAAGTAGTAGCGGTAACTGAATGAGAGGACACCTGAAAAATGGGAAATAAAAAAGCTTTCTTAGGAATCCTTTGCCATTTGCATAATATGACCACATCTACCTATGAACACATAGCTATCAGTTCTTTCACCCGACCGGCCTTCGTCTTTTGCCATCACATTGCAAGCGTTGAAAAATATCACCGTTTTGTTGCTTTTACATTTTTTTTCTCTCAACCCAGATAACGGAAACAGCAGCTTCTCCTAGCAGGGAAACCCGCCTGTCGAAAAGGTGACGCCCGCCGCTGTGCCTTCTGTGGTGACAGGGGACTGACTAGTCGTTAGTTGCTTATTGTTTTTCCTATCATAGGTATTTTTAGCTAATTCTTTCCAAACGCGTGCTTCGCTTTACTCATTCGCCTCCTTGCCACTTATTTCCTCCGACCCGGCCCCTCCGCCCCCGCGTTGAACCCTCACAGGCTCTTGTCACATTAGGTTCTCCATTGGCTGTACTCCCTTATGGCATTCGGTTCGTACACGCACGAAGCGGAGGCTCTCAGACAGAGGAGATTTCGCCCGGCTCAATTCGACGCCCAGGCAGTCGTCTATGCTATGCACGGTTTTGTCTGTCTGTGTGGGTTTCTGTTGCCAAATCCTTTCTTTTGTTTTCGCATCAGCCCCGTTGCGCTAATTGTTAACAATAATAGCAATAATGATGACGGCTGCTTCGGCCAACTTTGGCAACAGTAACTGAAAGTAGTACCTCTTCGATGTGGCAACGAGCACAGGCAGACGAACGGTTCCTGTTTGACTGTATAAACACAATGTATCATATACATGGCGTTTTCGGCTAGTGCCCTTGCCGTAGCAGCTTCGAACTGTCTGTTGTTGTTCTTCTGTGCTGGTGATGTTAACGCTCACTGCTATTCTATAATATATGTGCATATACCAAGATGGTGTATGAGATTATGAGACAAGCAGTACAACTACGCTACTTTTCTGCGCTACCTGTCTGTTGTAGGTTCGGATGCCACTTGACAGCGTTTCGACTGGCAAACGCATTTTAAAGGGGCCGCCCGAGCGTGCGACGCCTACACAGGCCTTCTAGAGGCTCCTAAAAGAACGTTTATCAATCTCATCTTTCAACGATGTCACACAGCATGCCTGCTGATGATGCTGCTGTCGTTGGTGTTGCGCTTGTTGCCAGCCCACATGGCTCTCACATGTGTTGTTGTTGTTGATAGTGTAAGCGTTCTATTAACACATGATGGGCGCCCTGTCCTTTGTAGCCGCGTGTGTGCGGTTATATGTACTCTGTTGGGTTAGTAAAGGTCAGGGCTGGGCCGTGCTTGCTAGGGGTGTTCGCTAATTTTCCTTCTCCGCCACAGTCCCACCTGGGTGCCCCGACTACGGCCCGTCGTGGCACTAGCGATAATCGTGCAGGCGAAAGGAGATGATATGTGAGCGAACGCACAGTAGAGCGATAAACGATAGATCGGTGAGTATAGGGGAGAGAGCGAGTCGGAGTCGACCATTACGGATGTATATGCGACTATGTATGTACGTACCGGAATTATCGCATGCATTGCGGTGTGTGTGACGAAATTGCGCAGTTCAGATTAACTCGTCATATTTTACGAAGGAAGATACTGCATACGCGGTAACGTGAAGTTTCAAAGTAGCTTTTACAAATGATTATATGTTAGCAGGTAGCTTAATATGATACTTGTTTTCAAATATAATGTCGTCTGCTATGTTTAATTAGTACCGATTGACCTGTATGTGTGATTGTTTTTTTGGGAAATATCGCAATCCCTAAAAAATGTTCATGTTTTTGTGTTGTGTCAGGTGACAGACGCCTTGCACGGTGGTGATCTCTCTGACGCTGTCATGCGGAGTCGAGGTAAGTAGCAACATATATTAAAATCAACAATATCGTATCAAAAACGAGCTATAACAATCGTAATTGAACGGCGCAGAGCTCTGTGTAATGACAGCAAGTGAACAGCGCGGCGAAGGTAACTAGATAGGGAAATAAGCTTAATAAGATTAAAGATGGCTGAACTAGGGCTGGATACAATGCAGCCATACAGATCGCTTTTTGCAGGAGCAGACCAACACGCAAAAATTGCCAGTTCGATACCGAATGTTGGCAAGCCTTGACCATACGCACAGAATGAGTGCTAGTATTTACATGCTTTACAAAACCCTTTAGCCAGTCACAGACGATATTAGTAGATGCATAAATACCTTATTTCGCGCGTGTCCAAAACGGCTAAAGCGAAACGTGGTACATCCTCAGGCGGTGACTCACGACATTGTCTTTTGTTGGACTCCGTTGCTTCTGAAGATTACGGTGTAATGATTTCAACAACATATTTAGCTGTATCTGTTTCGAAGCTCTGACAAACGATGGCTGCTACATTCCCAAGAGACATTCACGAGCTGTGGCTTTTCCTTCTGCAGGCGATGCGAAGTCTTCTGGTCGACAAAGGTGTTCTAGTCACTAATGCTACGGCCAATCATGGCTGTCTGGAAGATAATGTCAGCGTAAGCTTCTCACAGGTCCGTTACCTCACCGGAACACGTCGTTAGACGGAGAACGGCGGCGTGCATTGTGGCGTCATGAAATTACTTGATAAACTCCTAGGTACGGAGTCAGGAAAGGATCAAAACTATGGAGAGAGAAAAAAAATAATATCTGACGAAACCATCGTGTAAGCTCGAAGAAGCAGACGTTTAATTTCGTATGAAGTGTAATTCGGAAATGATTTCGGCCTATGTCTGTCGCATGGAAGTAAAACGGTTGAGCCAACGTCTGGTGCAGGTATTGGTTTGCCTGTCGGATCGTCACCTTTAACGTAACATCACTCAGCTAATTCCGCGATGTCTACTATAATTGTTTAACGAGAATTTTAGTGACGAGACTCCGATACTTTGCTCAAGACTGATATTATATCAATTTATTGGGTATTTTTTTGTGTTTGTTTGTGCAGACGTTCAAATACAATTGAACAAATACCGAAAAGTCGAAACTGACGCAAGAAAAGGCGTCTGATTATTTGCCTGTCACGCAAACAGAGCTGCTGCAGAAGATTTTTAAAGATGTCTGTGTGGCAGAACTGCAGCCACGACCGGCGGCGCTGGCGGCTGTCGCATTTATAATGGACGAAGATTCAAAGATCTGTTCGATTTTGGGTTACCGCGGCCATTTTTAATAATGTCAAGAAGCAACGTTGATGCCGATAACAGCACGACAAAGGGGCAGCAGGAACAGTTGGTGTGTCGCTATTGTTGTTGTTGTTGTTATTGTGGCTGTCGCGGCAATGGTAAGGGCGGCAATGACAATAAAGAAAAGGAAACCTTGGATAAAAAAGATGCCAGTTACCTCATTCTTGCGGGATCATCGCGGGATTCTACTCGCTGCTCGTTGCTCATTCGAACGTCAACGCTGCTGACGTTGATACTGCCACTGCCACCACTATTTCGGCTGTCTCAAGTTCTGTGCGATCAACGTCACCGCGAACGACTGCCGCGAAACGCTAGCCGACCGACCGTTTATGCAAACAGACAAAGCGACGATGTAGCGCTGGCGATTACGCCGTCTCTGTTGATGATGGGGAAAAGGCAAGAGCAGACGACAACAATGTAATTACTAATCAAGAAAGAGCGATGACGTCATTGTTGCTGCTGCTGCTGCGGCTGCTGTTTGTGATTTAATTTGATGAATGATCCGACTGACCCGTCAGTTGTGGTAAATAGTCGTCGAAGGGGAACGTAGCGCAGTCAAGAAGTTATTGCAGTTATTATACTACGTGCATGAAGGGGAGAGGGGTGGGGGGGGGGGAGAAGCACGACGACGAACGAAGATAAAGTGCCAAACTCGTAGAAGCGCATCGGAAACATCGAATGCAGAGATGATTGAAGAACGAGTAATAAGCGGCTGACCATGAACCAATGATTAGTTAGCAATGAAGACTTCGAACAAATGATGCGCTAAAGATTGTAGCCGTAGCTGTTCACGATGTTCATAAAAATTAAGCGTCAATGAATCGTTCGATTTTGGTGAGTGTTGAGTTTGGCGGAAAGCAGCGCCATATGGGCCGGTACACAGTGTTGTTGTGCAGCTAAAAAGTAATTCCAAGCTTTAGAATAATAATTACGCTGATTATTATAAACGTATTCGCTTGTTCTTTGGCATTTTTTATACGTACATATAATAGTGACATCACGAATAAGTCTTGGATGTGCTCCAGATGGTGTGCGTGCGCCTCTGCCGTGGTAATCGTTGATCGCTCGCTAGAAGTTCCATTGCCAGTTGAAGGCTGGCGTTACAACTACAGGCACGTTCGCCAAAAATTTTTCCTTCAGATCCTCTTCGTCACTGACTGACTGACTGACTGCCCCAGCGACGGTGCGCCTGTTTGCAGATTGCGGATGCTTTGTGTTTCGCTCTTATTTACGGACGAGAACCATCGGAATAGGGGTATGGGGTGGTGGCGGCAAAGAAAAAAAAATAAAGATCGAGTCGATATTTAGTTTTAGGTGTCTACTAGATAGGCTACTACAATTATTGGTCAGTAGGGAGATGATAATTTACTGTTGTTGCTGCCGATGCATGAAATTTGGGTTAGTTGTGTCCCAAATGTGGCCTGCATACTGAAACGGTATGTCGCCAGCGACGACGGTATTGTTAATCATAGATTATAGCGGAGGCGTCATCTTGCTCAAACCCTAAGGCAATGTAAGCGTCACGTTTATTCGAGCAGTGCTCTATTGCGCCGTATTTTTGTTGGCTATTTCAGCCCTTACGCCTTAGGATCGAAAGGTCAACGATGAGCAAAAACGGGACGAAGGGGGAGAGGGTATCGAATAGTTTCGACCTCTAAGCCGACATGATAAACGCAAAGCAAAAAAAATACCAGCGGATGAGACCATCGCCGTCAGCTTTGTTGTCCTGGCTATTGCAACGTGCATATATTTACATTAAACACAATACGGAATAACTTATGAAAAATGAAGCTAGCTTATATAATATACAATTAATCTTTTCGGTATATTGACACTGAATGAACGAGTGTGCGTGATACGATCGTGAAACTCAGCGGAGCATTCATGGACGACTAAAGCATCAGTGCGATCAAGGAACGCTACGGTGGAGATCACAGGTAGACAACAAAATTTACTGTAGTTCAGACGATGTGGTTAGCTGTTGTCCTATGAGTCAAGCACGGAAAGGGGAGAAGAGTTATAGGTTGGCATGCTGAGTTTCGCATAGTCGCGCGAAGATGCGACGTAAGAGCGTCCTCGCACTGCTTCTTTTCGCTGGGTTTTTCCCTCTATTGCTGTCTTTTAAGTCTTTCTTTTCGATTTCTTCGAGCATGGCCAACTCTTGATGCCTGCCGTTTATAATCTACCCCAATGATGACGACGTTGCTGGTGATCGTGTCGAAGGTAGTGATGCAGCCGCTGCAGACTGGCTTAGAATGCCAGTGGCTGCAGTAGGGGTGGCACTAGGGGCCAAGGCGAAGATCACTACGGCCGCCAAAGGGCCAGACTGCCCGTACTGGTTAATACTATGCGATTACTAGTCGTAGTCAGGGGTGAGCAAACGATCGAGCTGCCGACCGAGCTGCGACCGTTTGTTCATCCGTCCGTTCGCCCGGGTACTCTCGTTCTGTCGAACTGTGGGAACCAACGCTGCTGCCGTTGTTCCTGATGCTACCGCTATCTACTACGGCTACCGCTCCTCTACTACAAACATCGGATACGGCGCCCCCCTCAACCGGCGCCCGATGAGCAACCAGCCAACTTACGTTGATAGAAACAACAGCAATAGCTATAGCCAGGCCAAAAGCGGCCCTGATCACAACCTTCTTAACCTGCTATCAGCACGGAAATAGCATCAGCAACCTATTACCTGCCAGCGTTGTCTGTAAGTGTGAGTAAAGAATACAGTGAGAGGAAGGGAGTCATCGTGACGACGTCGCAGGAAGGAATCGGGTCTCCTCATATTGGCACACAGAGTCGCGGAAGAAATAACGACGACAGCGATGACGACGCCGACGTAGACGATGATGATGGTAACGGCAACAACGACGGTAACTATGATGATGATGACGAAGACGACAAGAACGTTAATGCGGCGGCGGTGGGCGACGAAGACAAAAGGAGATCCGAGAAGCGAGAAAGAGATTGAGGGAAGCTGAAGAAAAAAGGAAAGGTATGAGGTAAAGAGAGAGTGTGTGTGTGTGTGTGTGTGAGAGAGAGAGAGAGAGAGAGAGAGGCCATAGGATGCGGTACGATGCTTTTGTTGGGGTGACGCTGATGTTTACCATGAGGGTGCGTCAGACGTCGGTTTCCCCTCAATGTAATTATTATCTGAACTGAGCAGTCGTCAGCTAGGCGGTTACAAGCAAGGAGGTCTATCTCATTTTTTGAGCTTTCTAACCCCCCCAAAAGTGTCTGTAGGAAGAGGATCGTGTCCTTATCGATGGATGACCGTGGTTCGGGCAGCTCGTCCGACCCGGAGAAGAGCAGGCACAGGCAAATTGTAGTCGTGCTGTAGCCGAACAGAGAAGGGCTACACGGAGGGTTTCTGCGTGAGTAGATAGACCGAGCAGGAAAGAGGTGAGAGGGGCGACGGCAAATCGTGCCGTTATTATTGGTTTGGGGCAGCAGGACTTCATTGCGGCAGAGGCCAAAGTCGGTATGGAATACGGAGAAGAGGTGACAGAGCCCGAGTTGCGGCTCCTAGATAACACAACACCAACGGCATGGCACAAAGTCATAAAAAATGCAAGCGAAGTCGGGTGTTGACTGATAGCTCGATACATGTTTAACCGTCTGTATAGCTTATATACGTATGTATGTATGTAGTTTTCAAATGATACTAGCTACGGC